AAGGGTATTCAATTGTATGTTGATTGACTAACTACACAATTTCTAACAGAGTAATAAAATTGACATTTTCATTTCTCTTTAATGTTCCTAGCAACTCTATATTTCCTCTCTTTATTTATTTATTTATTTATTTATTTTCCTTCTTTTGAAATCCTATATTTCCTCTTATAATTTATTAGTAATTGTACGAATTTGAGTCTTCAATTCGACTCCTTATTAAATATTCTATTGTTTGTTAAAAAGAAAAAGCACTAAAGCTAATTTTGAATCATTGTCTTATGAATTAGAAATTTTATTTAAAAGTATATATGAAGTACTTTGTATAACATATCATGTAATTAGAATATTTAAATTAACATCATGTCTTTTATTTTATCCCAATTTATCTAATGAAAATATTAACAATTTTTATTACGTTAAATTATAATCCAAATAAATGAATAAAATTCAATTGTTAAAATCGTGCATTGCACAAGAATAACATAGTTAAGATATAAATGAATTATTCTTCATTATTCTATTCCATCATCTAGTTATAGATTAGACATTAGTGTTCTTGCTCCTTCATTGCCTTAATTGATCATTCAGTTACTTGTATAAAATTTGTTTAATCTCACCTTAAAAAATATACACAGTATTTGATAATAAAAAAAAAACACTACCTCGTTTATTCTTATAGTAATTCTGTAATAATCAAGGGTATTCCTAACATCAAATTAATATTGTTAGATTTGTACGTTTTAGGAATGTTTTATTCATAATTGTATTATCTAGCTAATTAACTTTTCAACACTCAAAGTCCTATGTTAACAATTAAAACGTCTCTACTACTTTTTTTTTTTTTTTTTAACCAATTAAAACGTCTCTACTCCCTACACAACAATAAATTATTATCCATAAATATTATTTTATATTTTGATATTATAATTGATTAAATGATAAGGAGTATCATTATGTGTTGTTTCAATGAATACTACAAGAGAGGGGGGTGAATAGTAGTATGAAAAATCAGTCAAACTTTTTGCGGAAATAAAGCAATTAATTAAGCTTAAGGAATTCAAAAGTGTAAGAGAGATTTTACGACGTGGAAAACTCCTTGACCCTAAGCAAAGAGAAAACTCACGACCATAAGGGATTTTAGGAAAAGACTCTTTACTAGAATAGGGCAATGGCCTATTACAAACTAAAGACTCTTACTTCAAGTTCCTCAACGAACTCAAAACCCCAACCAACAAGTCTCTCAACTTGTTACTCTTCTCTTCTCTTTCTCTTTCTTTTTCTCTCTTCTCTTCTCCTAGCTTCACTCAAAGCTAAAACAGAGTTCACTCAAACTCCCCAATTCCCAAAATACAACTCGGAAAGATTAACTCTAGTATAAGAACATAAGAACACTATAATTCGCTAGTGTGGAATAGGACTCTTAGCTCAGTTTAAGAAAATAAAAGATAGAATTATATTTGAGCAAGGGTGAAGTTTTCTAACTGAAATAACTTGCTATTTATAGATTTACTTAGCCTAGGAAAAACGCTTTTTGTTGCTTCATCTTGACGCCACTGTTCTATACCCACTAAGCAGATCATGTACTAAAAACCAGGGCATGATGCTCCTTAATGCGCAAGAACACGGGATGGACTAAGTCACAGAGAGTAGTCCGCAAAAATAGGAAAACATGAAAATAGACTTTATTTTAGCAATATAATTCACGAATAAAGAGAAACATAAAATCCTTTTTAACTCTAAAAAAGATAAGAATAAAAACTAACTGTTTTCCTAAAACTAAGCTTCTTATAAAAATATCTTTTAGACTCATTCCACACAACTACTTAGTTATAAACTTAGCTCTCATACTTATATAAATCCTAAAACATAAAAATATTTTAGTCTTCACGATTCTTTGATGAAGCATCTACTCTGACACTTTCTGTTCCTTTTAGGGAACTTATCTTCTCTAATGAAACTTCTTCTTAAAAGCTTTGGTTCCTTCAAATTAGAGGAACTTCTCTTCTCAAGGCTCCAACTCTAATGCACCAGTTTCTGTTAGGGAACTCTTCTCTTTTGGATTACTTTGCCCTGTGATATCTTGTTTCTCATGGTATCCTCTCAAGACATCTCATTTCTCCTAGTCAAAGCTTCTGATCATACACTTAAACAATAAAAAACTTATTAGTAAGTAAATAAGTTAGGCTGAGTCATCATCAAAATTATAAGGTTAACAATATTCCCCCTTTTTGATGATGACAAACAAACCAAACTTATTTACAAGGAAACAAAGATAATAAAAAAAAACGAAGTGAAATTAAAACTACTGAATTGAACTACTAAGAAAAAATTAAAACTACTGAATTGAACTACTAAGCAAATACAAACAAAAACAAACTTATTTACATATACCTATTTGTAGAGCATAGACATTGTGAAGACTGAACAGAGACCATAGAATGATTAAGTTGCCCATGCTGCCACTGTTTTATGTTGTTGATGCTGCTGTCCAAAATTGATGTTGCTGTCCAAAATTGATGTTGTTGTTTTCATTTGTTGCATAGGCTGCCAGCCTTATTTGTTAATATATAGTTTACATTGTATAATTACAATATGTTATATGAAAATGGTTTCTTTTATGTATATGTTATACAATCATCATTAATTAAGCTTTAAAAATGCAAATAAATAAATAAAATAAAAAAATAATTTTTTTTAAAATTTATTTGGGCCACTTAATGCTACGATTTAGACAAAAAACCGTAGCATAAAATAGCAAAAGGCTACAATTTTTTTGAAAAAAACCGTAGCAAATAATGCAAAAACGCTTTAGCAAAATACTTAAAATTGCTACGGTTCAAAACCGTAGCAAATAGTTTTCCTTATTCGCTACGCCCACTAATTCTACGGTTCAAAACCGTAGCAAATACCCCTAAATAAACCGTAGCAAATGTCACCTTTTCTACTAGTGTATGAATCTTCTGCATTTCCTCCTAGGCAATAGAAAGGTCAATGCAAAGGGGTATCCTAGCTGGTAATTCTTTCTTTTTCATCAACCTCAAGCTCTTTCTCTTCTTCTCCCCTATTCCAGACACATCCTCTACACTCTCTTTATCTTCCTCACCCTGATCACCTTTTGTCTCTATTTTTATATCTTCCACAACCTTCTCAATCAACCCAACTGCCAGTTCTCCTCCAACTTCCCCCGCAGCTGATGTTCCCACTTCTTTGGGTTTCTTAGCCACCTTCACAGCTTCAAAACACCCATTCATTATGGGGAGATGATGGTTATGAAGAAATATGGGTTGCATGTATTCGGTAATTTTGAGAGGCAAAGGTTCTGAGTTGGCAAGAGAAATGCCAAACCTTTCAAAGACAGTGGTGAGAAGGTTGGCATATCCCACCTTCCAACCTTTTGGAACATAGTGGTTTAGGTGTTGAATCATAATGGAAGGGAAGTTGATAGCTAGGGGTTTTTCTAGCTAGGCAGTAAATGAGGGTTGCATCAAGCTTATTGGCTGCATCTCTTTTCTGAGAGCGGGGGATTACGTCATTGAACACAAATTTGAACATAATTTTGTCAATTGGGCTGAACAGGTTATGGTTGATGTAAGTTTCTTCAGGATTTCCTCCAAACCATTCCACAATGTCATCAATGTCAGCACAGGCATGGGATTTTGGATGGTGTTTTTGAAATACAGATCATAACCTGTATTAGGCACATCAAACAGCTCAGCCAAATACACATCATCAAACTCAATTTTGGTTTTAAACACCTCAACTCCCTAGAATAAGAGAAATTCTTACATAAATCCTTCAAAGCATCCACATACATGCTTCGATTAAAACATTCACTCATCAAATAAATCCAATTTTGAAATTCAAGCAAATCAAGCAATTCGTAAAGTTTAACAGCTTTACACCAAGGTAGATTAAGTACCAAACCTGTCACAAAGTGCTCGACACTCTTCTCTAGCCTTTTCATGGCGGGAGTCTTCTCTCTGTAAGGAACTCCCATCTCTGGTATGCTTATCTCCTCTTCTTACACTTCTTCTTTCTTCCTCTTATGAGAGGAGCGAGATTCAGATGGAGTATTGAGCTTTGGAGGCTCAGAGATCTCCTCTGATTGTTTTTCCGGTGGGATTTCCATGGTGATGTCTTGGGTAATGTCAGGATTTCCTTGGTTAAGGTTTTGTTTTTGGAGAGATATCCATAGGAGAGAAATTTTGATCGGTTGTGATGTGGTGAATTTTGAGCGGTGTAAAATTGGTGTGGTTGGCATCTTTTTGTGGTGGAGGTAAATCGGTGAAGTGATGTGTCGTTTGGAGTAGGTGAGGTGAATAATGATGAGTTGATGCATATTTATTTCTTAAGGAAGCGTAAACCGTGTTTGAGTAAATAAGGTGCATATGGGTAACTTTTTGAACAAAAGATAGAGATGAATATTAGATGCATTCATCAGATTAATTTGTTTGATAAGAAGAATCGGAATTTTGAGCGTTAGATAAGCATAACAAATTTTATCCAATATTTTTGAACGAAAAGGACTTGTGAATGCAACTTGGTACATGGAAAAATTCAACATGGCTCATGCAATCAGCTAGGGATTTTCATAATCTATTCCAATAAACATACTTTAAAATATTGTTCCTGCTCACAGACATATCTCAACTATGTACTTAAACATATCAATTTTGTGCACAGTATATTTATTTAAAGCACGTCAGCTAGGGTTTTATACCCGGGGGAACTTGATGCATTTTCTTAGTATAACTCAATCATCCCAAGTTCCATTCTCATCTTCTCATGCCTTTCTCTATTTAAGGGCTTTGTTAAAATATCTGCAATTTGATTGTCAGTTTGGCAGAAATCTAATTTAATCAAGCCCTTTTCAACATTATCCTTAAGGAAATGTTGCCTTATATGGATATGCTTGACTCTTGAATGATGAATTGGATCTTTAGATATGCAAATTGCACTAGTATTATCACAATAAATGGTAATTCAATTAAATTTGATTCCTAAGTCACGGAACTGTTGTTTAATCCATAAAACTTGAGAGCAGCTACATACTCTACCTTAGCTGTAAACAGGGCAACAATATTTTGTCAAGGAACTGGACCATACCTGAGGTGCTTTTCCTGTTGACTAAGTCACCAGCATAGTCAGCATCAGTAAATCCTCTAAGCACAAAGTCATCACTTCTAGGATGGAACAGACACATGTCATCTATTCCTTTGAGGTATCTCAAAATTCTTTTAACAACAGTTAGATGTGATTCTTTAGGATTTGATTGAAATCTAGCACATAGTCCAATACTAAACAAAATGTCATGTCTATTAGCTGTTAAATACAACAATAAACCAATCATACCTCTGTAAGTGGTTTGATCCACACTTGTTCCTTGTGGATCCTCCTCAAGTCTTGTTGTTATTCCCATGGGTGTGTGATTTGTTTTGGCATTCTCCATGTTGTATTTCTTCAGAAGTTCCTTGACATACTTCTGCTAGGGCTGTACACTGGTCCAAAACCGGACCGGACCTGTTTGGACCGGGACCTGAATCGGTGATTTTTGAGGACCGGAGACCGGACTTGATTCAACAGGTCCGATTTCGGGTCAGACCTGAAAAATCAGTTCCGGTCCGGGTTTGGACTTGAACAAACCTGTTGTGTACATATATATATATATATATATATATATATATATATATATATATATATATATATTTTGATTACCGAGAGTAACTTAAAACTAAAAAATATAATCCATACGCAGAACTTACATTTCAATTATGTACAAATGAAGACTAGTGCCTCTAGTGGTATACTGATATTCAACCACAAAAGCCCACTAATATTTCACTTATGCACTCGTAATTTCATCATATTCCAAGAACTGAGAATACAAAAAGCAAAACATGATCCACAGGCGAAACACAATCCACACAACTACACAAGTGATCTGAATGTGCAGACAAGTCGAGAGTTCACGACTTTGAAAGGGAGATCAGAATATTGAATACACAAATTAACAAAAAAACAGATCTAATATACAAATTGAACAAAAACATATCTACAATAAAAATTGAATAATACAAAAAAAGAAAAATTAAAATCCACAAAAAATTAAAATTCTGGAAATTGACGAATGAACGAATAAAAAATCAAAATCTGGAAATTAACGAATGAATAAACAAAAAATAAAAATCTGAAATTAAAAAATAAAAGCCACCCATCACAGTGGTTTTCTTGGGTCCGAGATGAAGGAGAAGGAGGAGAAGGAGAAGGAGTGGTTGTTGCGGTGGTTTTCTTGCCGGAAGATTTCGACGCTAAATGGTGGTAACGACTGTTGCGGTAATGGCTTCTGCGGTTGACGCCAAATTGCCGAAAGTTGTTGTAATGACTGTTGCTGTGGTTTTCTTGCGGTGGTTGTCGGTGTTGGGCGAGGAGAGGAGATTAAATCTAGGGTTTGAGAAGAGAGAGGAGAAGAGAGAATTTGAGATACAACCCTACAACTCTGAAACTCTGATATTAGATTTGGGGTTTTGCTAAGTTGATATTTTATATATATATATATATATATATATATATATATATATATAAAATATCAACTTATATATATATATATATATATATATATATAAAATATCAACTTATATATATATATATATATATATATATATATATATATATATATATATATATATATATAAAATATAATTTCAGGGTTTCAGGTCCGGACGGGGGTTTTCCGGTTTTTATCCGGACCGGAAAACCGAAATCGCTTATTTTCAAGGACCGGGACCGGACTTGAATCAACAGGTCCGGTCCGGTTCAGGTCGAGTTTCAGGTTCGGTCCAGTTTTTGTACACCCCTAACTCCTGCTGATGAATCATAATTCCTTCCGATGTTTGCTTTATTTTTTATGCAAGAAAAAAATTTAATTTATCCATCATAGTCATTTCAAATTCACCGCCCATTAGTTCAGTAAAGTACTTGCACAAAACACTGTTAGTTGCTCCAAATATAATATCATCAACATAAATCTGAACAACTAAAAGATCAGTTCCTTGAGATTTTAAGATAAGAGTTTTGTCAACTTTTCCTCTTTTGAAATCGTTTTTTAGAAGGAACTTTGAGAGCCGTTCATACCAGGCTCTTGGAGCTGCTTAAGCCCATAGAGAGCTTTATCAAGCTTAAAAACATGATTTAGAAATTTTGGATTTTCGAAACCAAGAGGCTATTAAACAAAAACATCCTCCATTAAGTAACCATTTAGAAAAGCACATTTCACATCCATTTGATATAATTTGAAACCCATAAAAGAAGCAAAAGCTATTAAAATTCTAATAGCTTCTAGTCTAGCTACTGGAGCAAAGGTTTCTTCGAAATCAATACCTTCCTTTTAATTATAGCCTTTTACGACCAGTCTAGCCTTGTTCCTTATGATTGTTTTATGCTCATCTAACTTGTTCCTGAACACCCATTTGAGCTTAATGACTTTCTTGTCCTTTGGTTTGGGCTCCAGATGCCATACTTAATTTGTTTCTCTCGAACTCATTCAGCTCTTCTTGCATGTCAACAATCCAATCAGCATCTCCCAAGGCTTCTTGATGATTTCGAGGCTTTAAAATTGATAGAAATGCATGGAAGGCACATAAGCTCCTCAACTGAGACCGAGTCTGAGTTTCTCTTCCTAAGTCACCAATGATTTTGTTTAGAGGGTGTACGTGACTTTTGATGCTTCCATGGTTTATATTTGTATCATTCTCTTAAGTCTCCTCTCCACCTTCTGGATCAGGTTGAGGCACTTCTTCAGGAGGTGGGATGGTTGATGGCTCTTTTCAATGTACTTCTTCATCTGGATCACTGTTTTGAATTAATCCAATTTCAAAATCATCTTTTTCCTGTTCTTGTACACTCACAACTTGGTTAATTTCCACTACAAGTCGATTTCTGACGGATAGGTTCCGACGATCATGTAATTCTGTCGGAAAAACCGAAATTTCCGACTGATTTATATTCCGTCGGAATATATGCATTTTCCAACGGATTTTCCCGTCGAAAATTACTATTTCCGACAGATTTTTATTCCGACGGAATTTTCGTTGGAATATAATTTTTTTAACAAAAAACAAAAAAAAAACCCTTTAAAAGAACGAAACCCTAATACGGCCCCCCAACCGTTTTTCTTTCCGCCTCTTTCTTTCCCCTTTTCTCTTTCTCTCTCCTTCCCCTTCTCCTTCTCTCTCCTCTTCTCTTTGCTCTTTTTTCCTCTTCACTATCTCGCCTTTTCCTTCTCTCCTCTTCTTTCCCCTCTTTCTAACCACCGCAACAATAACCACCACCACCGCCTCTTTCTTCTCTCCTCTTCTTTCCCCTCTTTCTATCTTACACCACCATTAACATCAACAACACCACCACCGCAACAACAATGACCACCAACATCAACCGCAAACAACAGCGCACCGCCACAACAACACCACCGCGAAACAACAGCCACCGTCGCGAGCATCTCAAGGTTTCCGCAACAACACCATCGCGAAACGACTGCCACCGTTGCGAGCATCTCAAGGTTTTTTTTGTAGATCTAGTTTTAACTTAGGTTAAATTGTAGATCTTGTTTTAATTTAGGTTAAATTGTAGATCTTGTTTTATTTTTTGAACATTTATGATTATAGTTAATTATTTATGTAAGTGTAATGTTAGTTTATAAATTTATTAGATAATAGTAATGATCATAGTTAATTGTCGTTTTTTTTTACTGAAATTCCAATCAAATATGTATATCTACTGGTTTGGATTTTTTTCGGTAATTATCGCTTTTTTGGGTTATTTTTTTTCCTCGGTAAATTTTGTTTGTTTGTTTTTTTTTTTGGTGTTTTGAGGTGGTGTGGGGTGGGGAATAGTGGTGTTTTGAGGTGGTGTGGTGTGGTGGGGCTGGTGGTGGTAGGGTTTGTGGTGGTGAACGTGTAGGTGTGGGGCTAGTTGCGGTGGTGCGGCCATAATTTTTTTTTTTTATTTTCTTATAGCATTTTTCGAAGGAAATTCCGTCGGAACTTTCTGGTAGAATATTTTCCGTTGGAAATTTCAAACGGACTTCCCAGGCCGGAGAAACTTGTCCGACGACTAAAATTCCTTCGGAATACTGGTTTCGATAGAATTTCCATCGAAAAAGGTCTTTTTTCCTACAAAACCTCTTCTGACAATCGCTTCTGACGGATAACGAGGTGTTTCCGACGAAATTTTTCCTTCGGAAATCGCCTGTTTTCTAGTAGTGTTCATCAAAGATTATGTGAATGCTTTCCTCGATACACGTTGAGTTCTTATTGTAAACTCTGTAAGCTTTGCTGTTCGAATAGTTCTTGGAGTAGAGAAGTTGTGGTTCATTCCGTTTTCCCTACAAAACTCATCAAACTTGAAGTTCTCAAATTTAGTTTCGTGATCTGATCTGAGATGGATTATAGAACGGCCACTAATTTTCTACACTTTTCTTAGTAAAGGCAACAAATTCATCAAAGGTTTCATCTTTGCTAGCAAGAAAAATTACCCAAGTAAATCTAGAATTATTATTAATAATAATCAACACATATTTTTTGCCACTCCTGCTTTGAGTTCTCATGGGGAAACACAAATCCATATGGATTAATTCTAGAGGCTTTATGGTGCTCACCATTTTCTTCAGTTTAAAAGATGAACGAACATGCTTTCCTTTCACAAAAGTTTCAAAAACTTTGTTCTGTAGGAATTTAATTGTTGGCAATCCTACAACTAGGTTCCTTGACCTTAGTTTGTCAAGTAGTGAAAAGCTAGCATGTCCAAAACGTTTATGCCATAGTAGGGGATAATCCTCAACAACACTCAGTCATGTAAGGTTGTTCCTTGGGATTAAGTTGAGGTTAACAGTAGATGTGTTACCTCTTCTGATCTAGTTTCTTCAAGAACAACCTTTCCTGACTTGTTGTTGATGTTTAGCAAGAATCAGAAGTAAAACTTACAGAGTTTCCCTTATCACAGAATTGTGATATACTTAGAAGATTGTGCATCAAGCCCTCGACCAGGAACACGTTGTCAATTGAGTGAGACTTTGATCTTCCTATTTTTCCTTTTGCTATGATTTCACCCTTCTTGTTGTCCCCAAAGGTTAGTGTTCCTCTAGGGTAGTCTTCTAGTGAGATAAATTTTGATTTATCACCTGTCATGTGCTTGGAACACCTGCTGTCGAGATACCACGAGTTGTTCCCCCTCACTAAAACCTGCAAGAAAACTAAGCATTAGTTTTAGGAACCCCGGTTTCCTGAGGTTTCTTAGAAGTGGAAGCAATATCTGTTTTCTTTACCCTAACTTTTTTATAATTTCTTTTATTTGCTTCTTCTCTATTTTTACAATACTCATAGAGATGGCCAATCTTTCCACAGAATGTGTATATCTTCATGCTTGGAAGCTCAACATATTTATTTTGTTTACCCT